CGACTCCTCCTCCATCCCCATAATGATGAAAATCGAGGCTATCAGATTGATTGTAATAACTAAAATTCAACATCTCCTTCTGAATGTTCATATCCCACAATGCACACTTTCAACACTGAACAATGAAACGGTAAAGCTAGTGAGAAAATGTCTCAATAGCCATACAACCCGAGACCTATCTATTTTCCAGTCGAGCCGAGACAGAGGTCTTGGAGTTCCAAATATTGAATGGATTTACACTGCCTCCAGAATAAGTCATCTTCTTAATATGCTGAACAATGACGATACAACTGTCAGAGAGTTGGCATATGAGTCACTCTTTTTACATCTACAGTGGCGCAAAATACCAGCTGCTTCACACAACGAGTGTGAGAATATAATGAGAATATAAAACAGACCCGTATATGTACTCTAGCGGTACTCAACACAGAAAGTACACCTCGTCAACTATCGACCAGTAACGTAATAGTCTCACTTCTTCACCTCAGACAAACCCAAAATGCCACTGAATGGGCTTGAAACTGCAGAGAAAATTAGCACTTCTCCAACCGGCCGACCATTCAGTTTCGCATTCTGTTTTGACAAACCCTTCAATCTCAGAATACATTCTCATTTTTACGATTAAACCACGACTACAATGTCTCCTAACAATATACAATCTGTCAATATGGTACCCATCAAATTACAATCCCCTATTGTCCGTTACATCAAAATCAACAGGAAAATGAAACAGTTGCTCACATCTTAAATGGATGCTGTTGTTACAATATGGGGGTAGAATTGTTGCATTATTCCAAATAAATAGATTATGATCCACAAATAAATGTAAAGCGATTAACAAAAACCAAACAAATTGACAAAATAAATAGAATGAGATCTACAAATAAATCTTACAGTTTCACAAACATGAATTAAATTCACAAATAAATAAAATTAGATTTGTAAATAAAACAAATTATTCTACAAACACAACTTTGCCTGGCATTTATTTGTGAATCGTGTCCTGTGTGTTTGTGGATCGCTGCGTGCATTTGTGGATTTTGAAACATTTCTAGCATCAAGACGCTGACAATCCACAAATGCGTGACTCCACCCACCGTCTACTCGAGCCAATCAGATAACAGCCACACTTCGCTGACCAATCATAGCTCGCTATAACCAATCACGTTTCGCTTTACAATCAGGGCAGGATCAGATTTATTTAATTGCACCCCTGTAAGGAACTGCATTCTATGGACACTTCGTTCAAATTGAGTGCTGTTTGCGTGGCTAAAACAACCTGTTTCCAAAAGATTGTAGGAGTGTACGACTTCTTATATTTCCATCAGGATCAGTGAATGAGGATAAACTCAGAATTATACACAATTTATGATCATTCACAGATCCCGAACATCATCAGTACTACCCTCACGATGTGTCCAAAGCAAATAGAAATCTACTGCAATGCTGTCGACTCTGGACGAGGCGCGACACGATGAAGGACAATGATTTGCACATTTAATGCGTCCAGTTGGAGTTACAGTTGTTGCAGCGCAGCGCGACAGCGAGCAGAGACACGGCGTAAGACATGGAATGGCTTATTTAGTCTTTTAAAGCACAATCACGGTAACAAATATAGAGCATAATAACACGTATAATATCAATTATGGGCCAAAATGACCATCTGGGTATCTGTCTCAGCATCGCTGCAGCGTGTAGTACTGGAGTTTTGCAAGTGGACAATGTACTTTGGATGCTGTTAAGTAAATTTAACAAACAAAACTAGTAAGTCTGATTCATATTAAATATTTTTTTGCGTGATCAAGTGTTTTAACCAATAAATACCTCTTGTCTTACATTTATATCCATTTATTTTCAACACACTGCACCACATTTAAAAAAGAGCCCACCTATATTTTTCCTCCCCAAACAATGGCAATAACTTTGTAATAATTTTAATTAATGTTTGAAAATATTATTTATAATGCTATATACATCATTAGATACACATAGCTGCTCATTTCCATATCCATAACCATATCCATCCCATCCAAACTGCTTCACTGAAAATCTGGAAAACACTGTTATGTTGGCTGTTGTGTGACAGCAATTTAACCTGTTACACAAACTCGCATGCTTATCATGAGGTTGAATCAAGTAATTTATTAGTTAGTTGCTTATTGATGCTTTTCTTTCCATCTTGAATGGCGCTTCCATAACGCGTTTGTACCCATAGCCGTGATTTTCAAAAGCATGTAAAATATACTGTGGCTTGGCTTGATACACAGTCTAATGATCTAATGAAATTCAATTTTAAACATCTTTTACTGTATAAATTTTTATGGCCCTTGTATTTCCTATTTGAGCCAATGCATATTATGAATGAAGTTATTTCAGGAAGAGACCGCCCTGATTGTAAAGCAAAACGTGATGGGTTATAGCGAGAACGTGCTACGATTGGTCAGCGAAGTGTGGCTGTTATCTGATTGGCTCGAGTAGACGGTGGGTGGAGTCACGCATTTGTGGATTGTCAGTGTCTTGATGCTAGAAATGTCTCAAAATCCACAAATGCACAGCGAGCGATCCACAAATGAATGGCAGGCAAAGTTGTGTTTGTGAATGTTTTTT